CTTGCCCCTACCCCCAGGAGATCCTGGTCACTTGGGGAGACAGTCAAGTGGATAGAAAGTTACAACGTAGGGCCATATTCTGGACCTAGCACTTGGTGCACAATAGAAGTTTGTGCAATGAAAATGCATGGTTGAAAGGGTGGTTCTGAGAAGTCACCAGAAAGGAGAGAACATCAAGCTGAGTTTTGAAAGATGAATGAGTTCACTAAGTAGGCAAGTAAGTCAAAAGCAGTCCAGGTAGAAGGGACTGCATGTGACATGGTACAATGGATCACATGTAGCAAAACTGGTTACAAGCATGAGGCTAGAGGAGATTGCCCCCGAAAGGGGGATAGGCTGAGAAGAGGGAAAGGGAAAGAAAGAGATGCAGGATCAGTGGACTGCTGAAGAGAAAACCTGTTAGCCCACCTAAAGCTTACCATCACTGAGATCTCTACTCCAGCCCAGATGCTTATCCATCCTTGGAGCCTCAATTCAGCATCACTTTCCCAAGGGACCATTCTTTCTGGCTCAGGCTGTAGTGAGTCCCTCTTCCATCTGCATGCTCCTAGAATATCCTGTGCCTCCAACCTGTTCACTGCCCATCTCTACCCCCAAGGGTTAGCTTGTCTATATGCTTGCCCATCTCCCACCCGAGGCTGTCATGTCTGGCTCTGGTGATGCCCCACCACCACCACACTCATGCCTCCTGGATTATGGCCGGCTGTCCTGTCTATGGGATCCCATTCTAAGGCTGGACAAGGTCCATGTGGAGAAGTGGCTCCAGAAACTGAGGTCAGAATCTAGGGCTGCTATAGGGGATCTGGCCAAGGGGAGGGTGTTTTAATTTATATCACATCAGAATTTTGTAGTCTTTAAAGGAACTCTGGAAGTACCCTGGGTAAGAGCCCTTCATATATCCCCAGGAGCCTGGTTGGAAGGGGTGGGTGGTTAGGGTTATTGTGTCTAGGTGACAAAGCCAGAGAAGCCTGGCCCCAGGGCAGAGAAGCCAGAATGTTGAAGAGGTGTGGCAGGGACCGGACCTGCTGAAGCCAAGGCTTAGGACAGGGTCTAGCAGTAGAGGGGCCAGTTCACAAGCCACCACTGCTTTGGACAGAGCAGCCCGGAGGAACACTCCCCTGAAGGGAAATGATGGAGCTGCAGGTGTCTTGGATGTCCACTAGGGAGCAACAAAGATAAGTCAGCTGGCGGGTCGCCATGGTAACCAAGGAACCTGGAGCTGCCCAATCCCTAGAACAAGGCAAGTAAGTTCTAAGAATGCCCCAAGCGTGGCATCCCAGGTGCTGGCAGGTTGGTGGCTATCAGTTCCAGCAAAGGCCCAGGCAGGGACAAAGGACCCAGCTGACTTCAATGTTTTCTCACTTTTGCTCAGTTCACACTTTCGCTGGTTAAGCCAGGCATAGAAGTTGTAGGGGGGAAAATGAAATGAAGTTTTGGATCAGCCAAACTAGATTCTTCATTTTACAGATGAAACAGAAACCCAAAGAAGAAAATACACTTGCTGGAGACCACACAACAGCAGTCCTGGAAATAGAGCAGAAGAGAACATGGAACAGAAAGGGGCGGAAAAACAAGCAAATGACCAGAGACCAATTTTACAATGTGTTGTTTTGTTTATTTTTGTTTGCTTTTTGAGATAGAGAGAGGGAGGGAGAGGGAGAAACATCAACCGGTTGCCTCCCGTACACACCATGATCAGGGATGGAATCTGCAACCTGGGTATGTGCCCTGCCCAGGAATCAAACCCACAGCCTTTCGGTTTGGGGGATGACGCACCAACCAACGAGGTACACCGGTCAGGGCTGTGTTCCATTATTTAAATTACCATTTTTGAATTTAAGTTGTTTTAAACCCCAGCTTTCACCTGATGAGTATTTCTCCCTTCTTTTCTCTAAAACCAATAAAGACATATTTTAAAAAAACAAACACGAAAAAACCAAAGCTCTTTGGTAAATGACTTCCAGGTGAAACTAACTCTCAGTGTTCCACCTACTGCTCTAAGTTATCACTTTTGCTTCATTTTTTGACCTCTGTGCATTCCTTATGAATTTTCCAGCTCACCAAATGCATTTTAAAAATAATTTCATCTACCATTAAAGTTGTTTGCCACATTAGCAAAAACAGAAGTGCATTTGTGAGTTCCATAAAGGAAACCCACAGATACTTGACTTGGGAGATATGGCTCTGCTTTTAACGTCCCCCAGTTAAATGGGGTTAAATCCCAATTATTTTCCAGTTCATCACTTATTACACAAACAATAAAAACTCATGCTGCTCTCCTTACACTCAGCCTGTTTTCTAATTCCCCTTACCCTTGCTTGGGGAAGCATTGGGAAGTTTATAAACCTTCCCCTTCCCTGAATGCTGTCAATGTTTGAGTGGTTTTCTTTCTTACCTTCATCGAGGGGGTGGGCAGTAGAACACATTCCCCACTAGGTGGAGGCCTTGCTGTTCTTAGGAATTTCTTTTCTTTCCCATCCTTATCTCTTTACTGGGGAAAAGGGGTGTTGAGGCAATGATTAATAATAGTAGCAGCGCAAATTCAGCACCTGGCCCCTGTTTGTAAGATATGAGAGTATCTAGCCCCAAATGTTTTGCCTCTCTTTATAATTCAGAATAATTTGATCTCAGCTCTGAGTCTTGGTTACCAATTCTGGCACAACAGGAAAAGTTTCTCAACCCTCATAGTATTAAGTGACTCCATTGCTGCTGCTAATCCAGTGGCTCCCATCACACTCAAAGTCCACACACCTTATCACAGCCTCCAAAATCTTGCTCCATCAAACCACCCCAGCTTACCTGTCCTGCCTCTATTCCACTCACTCTCCTGTCCCTCACTCTGCTACCGCTACATTAGACATCTGTTTCTAAAACACGTTAAGCTTATTACCAACTATGGGCTTCTGCACCCTCAGTGCCTTCAACCTGGAATTCTTTTCTCATGTTCCTGCAGTTGCCTCTCTAAGTCTCAGCTATTAAGTCACTGCCTCAGAGAGGCCTCCTTAAACCACTCATTCGTATTTCTGAATTACACCTTCTGCTTGTTCCAGAGCATTATATTTATGCAGCAGTAGTAGAAAGCATTAATTTTTAAAATATCCGTCTTTTTTTTTTTTTTTTTTTTTTTTTTGGGGAGGGAG